TGACTGTCAGTTTTAGATTTACATTCGTTTGCCCAGTGCCTTCCTCTTTTACACCTTGGGCAAAGGCCTGGGATTTTTGCTTCTGGACTCTTATTTTGGTTTTCACAGCAATCTTTTGCAAAGTATCCCCTTTTACCGCATCTGAAACATCCCCCTTTATCTTTACCTTTGTTAATGAGGAAATCTCTTACTGTTTGGCCGCTAAAAGCGGCGGCCATTGCTAGGCCTTGTTGATATGAGGGCCCAATATCTGAACAAAGGCGAATGTATCCTGTTAAATCTGTTTTCTTTCGATAAGGTCTGATTGCCGCTTGGCAGGCGGGGTTAGCATTTTCATAAGCTAACTTTTTAACATAATCTACACCCGTTTCTGCATTTCCAAAGATTCTACCTGCCGTGGTCATAAGTCTATGCACAAAGTCTGAAAATGGCTCATCGGGTCCTTGTTTAACCGCTGTGAGCGAGGCCCCTGGATCTCCTTTAACGGGAAGTTTTCTCCAGGCTTTTGTAGCAGCAGCCTGGATTTGTGAGAACAGTCCAGGGTCATATTGCATTTGGGCCTGAGTGTCTGCATAATTACCTGAACCAGTTAACATATCAAAATCCCAACCGTTTCCTGCATGTTGATTTCTTTTAGCTGTATCTCTACAATTTTCAAAGAACTCTGACTTCCAAATTAAGTGGTCTCCCCCAGAAAGAACTGCCCTGACTAAGGTATTCCAGTCCGTAGGAGTGAGCCAATTCTCAGCTACAGATTCCACTATAGCAAGAGTATATGGAGCAGTAGCCCCATACTGAGAAGCAGCAGTCTTTAACTCTTTTATAATAGTAAAATCAAATCCAGTATGATGCCTCCAAGCCTGTCCCTGTTCATCTATGGTTTCCGTGACTGGAAAAACGTCTTTGGGGGAGGAGTCTTCTCTATGTCGGCTAGCAACTAACCCCCCTCTTGGAACATGTTGTCCAGGCCGCTGAAGTGGGCGCAAGGAACCCTCCATAGTGTCTGAGTTAGGTATTTTTTCATTTCCTGTTTTTAGCTTTTGGAGCCTAATTATCAATGATTGATGTAACTCTTCAAGTTTAATCTGTTCTTCTAGTTGAGCAATTTTTTGCTTTAATTCTTCTTTGGGATCTATTGCTGCCATAACAATGGGCGCAGAAGCCTCATTATGTGTCTTATTATATGGGGGTGGGTATGAAGTAAAGGGAGGCAAATCAGGGTTGTGATATTTAGCTGCTTCTTCCTCTAAATCATCCCAATTTATATCCGATTGATTAGGCTTATTAATTTCCTCCTCCTTTTGAAGCATCTGTAAAATTGGGTATTTTTTTGGTTTGTTTTCGTGTGGTATTTCTTTATCTGTTACAGAAGGAGACTTCATTTCCTCATGATCACTTTCGAGGGAAATGAGATCTTCCTCCGTATCTTGCGGAGGCTTTGTGAGGTTAGAGCGGGAGCTAACCTTTAAAATATGCTCTGTCTGAGCGACCGCAGCCATGACTTGCGGATTGGCCTCCTTCTTATCTATTAAATCTCTAATGAGGTTCCAATAAGAGAAGGCGGTTACAGGAATTTTTTCTGGCCCAAAAGTATTATAATAGTCCTGCAAACAATCCCCTACTCTACGCCATCTTTTAATATCAATAGTTCCTTCCTGTGGGAACCAAGGGCAAGTGTCTTTTACAAAATCAAAAAATTTAAACAAATCATTACCTTTAACCTTTACTCCTCGTATCTTTAAAGCCTCTTTTAATTGTCCTACATATATTTGATGTTGGCTTAATTCTTGTCCCATTTCGGACGCGTCACTTACCTTCGATCCTGACGCGGCAGGTTCCCGCGGTGATCGGAAGAGTTTGACTCCTTTTGTCTTCGTTAGCGGTCGACCGTCCTTTGGCGTCCTCTTCCTCACGGAGTCCCTCGTTTCCAGGTCCCTGTTCGGGCGCCACGTATCCCGGCCCGCGGGATAGTCAGTGTAGGCCCTGGAGGAGGGGGTGGGAATTTGGGGAACAAGAGACACGAGAAATGGAGACAAGACAGTGCTCTGATCAAGTCTCGTTTAATGGCGGTAATGCAGTGCCTTATATACACTTGGAGGGGAAGGGGTTGGGCCAGAGGCAGAGATGATCTCATCGCAGAGGGCGTGACCAAGTAGGTATTGGTTTCTCTGGTCGAATGTCATGTTGCACCTGCGCTGTCAGTTGGTAATTTTCCCGGGCACGGGATGGTGCCTGTGCTACAAAGTAACAATTTTCGCCGCCGTGGGGGGGGGGGGGAAACAAGTGAAGAAGAAGCAGGAAGAGCGCCATCTATTATGAGGTATTGATACAAAAGAGAAACAACAAATCTAGGGAGGAGGTAGAAGGTGGAAAGGAATAGAGCTCGGGCATTTAATCATTAATTATTATTTGCTATGGCCGGGGCGCACAGCTCCGGACACTGTCCAACCTGGGGGCTCACTAATCCCGAGTCAAAAGTAATTTTAAGCAGATGATATTCTTCATGTGGTTGCAAAGAGGTCAGGACTAATTAACATTCAGCTGAAGGCATGAGCTTGAATTAAATTGAGGGGGCAGCAGAGGTAAGCGCAGGGCCATGGGAAGAAAGGGGCAGAAGGGGGGGGGTCAATGTAGCCCACTGGTCAACTCACAGACCTTGGCAGGTTGCCTACTGGGACATGCATTGTCTAGGACAGAGTTACCCATGGGCTGAATTACAAGTTATACAGCATCTGTGTCCACACAGGTTTTTTTTTTCCCCCATGCCATTTAAAAAATAAACTATTAAATTTTAGAATAGTTTAGACTTACAAAATGTTGCACCAATGCTACCGAGCTCCCATATATCCCACAACCGTTTTCCCCTATTGTTAATAGCTTACACTACTATGTGCTATGGTCTGAATGTTCATGTCTCCTCAAAGTTCATATGCTGAAACCCTAGCCCCCAAGGTGAAGGTATTAGGAGGTGGGGCCTTTGGGAGGTGATAAGGTCATGAGGGTAGAGCCCACATGAATGGGATTAGTGTCCTTATGCAAGAGCCCCAGGGATCTCACTAGCCTCTTCTGCCATATGAGGACACAGGGAGAAGGTACCACCTATGAGAAACAGGCTCTCACCAGGCACAGCATCTTCTAGCACCTTGATTTTGGACTTCCCAGCCTCAAGAGCTATGAGAAATACATTTCTGTTGTATATAAGCTATCCTGTATGTGGTATTTTGTTATCAGCCAAAACTAAGACACAAGGGTATATTGTGAGCCCTATATTCAAGGGGCTTGAAGTCTTCTAGGGAAGGCCACTGGTCATGGAATGAGTGTGCAGGGAGTCCAGAGAAGGGGGTCAAGGGCAGTCCTTGGGCTGTTCCATGACCCAGTTGGTGGAGCTGAGGCCAACAGATGGGCAGGGAAGGGGCAGAGGGCCAATCCTGGGAGAGGACTGTGTAGTCCACATCAACAGGGCACCCTGCCCACAGCCCAAGGACAGCTGGAGAAGGTGGCAGTGACTGAGGGAGGGCTGCAGAGAGAAGGCAAGAGCCTAGTTGGAGCTACAGGAGTCATGCCAAGCCTCCACTCTGTGGAGCTAAGGGAAGAACACAGGTCCTGAGGATGGGGATCCAGGTCAGCCTGTGGGGGTCACAAGGAGCAAGGCTGCTGCCCACTGGAACTTTGCTGCCCAAACTCTGTGGCGGAAAAGAAGCAGGACCTGGCTCGCTGGTGCTGAGCTGAATAACTGCTGCCCAGGGTTCCATCCTCCCGCTGCCCTAGGTCAGGGCCAGCCCGAGCTGGGAAGGAAGTTGGACCTGGCAGGTAGGGGTGAGGGTGTAGTGGCCCAGCAGCCACAAGGGCAGGGTGCATCACAAGTCCCGGAAACCAAAGCTGCTGGGTAAAATGAGGTAAAATGGGATCAGGACAGGTGGTAGGGAGATGGAGAGGGCATGCTGGTGATGGGAACTCCAGAAATGAAGGCAGGAGAGGGATGTCAGGTCTCACCTAGTGGTACAGAGGGCTTGGGGTGGGGAGGAAAGGCAGGGAAGGAGGTGAGGGTGGGCCATACATCAGGGTTCCCTGAACACCAGCAGCCCAACAGAGAGGCTCTACATCACAGTTTGTGTCATGACCTGCAAATACAGAAGATGCATGAGGGGCTCCCCTCAGATGGGCCCGGGGCACCCCTATACCACCCAGAACTAGGTGGCCTGGCTCAAATCCTGCCTCTGCCTCTTCCCAGCTGTGTCCATTTAGGCACATAACTTAACTTGCCCGTGACTCCGATTCCTCAACGAGTGATAATGATAACACTACTTCATGGAGTTGTTGTAAGGACTGAGTAAAATACAGAAAGCGCTGAGAACAGCACCTGGCACACAGTGCCACATAAGCATTTGCTAATATTATAGTTGGCTACAGTAAAGCAGTTTGAACATTAGCCAATATTTCCCAAGTTGTATTCCACGAAATCTTCCACTGAGACACTTCCATCAAAAAGGTTCTTATGGGCCAGGTACAGTGACTTATGCTTATAATTCCAACGCTTTTGGAAGCCAAGGTGGGCAGACCACCTGAGCCCAGGAGTCTGAGACCAGCCTGGGCTACATAGCAAGACCTCATCTCTACCAAAAAAAAAAAAATATATATATATATATACACACACACACACACACACACACACACACACATATATATGTATATATACACACACATATACACACACATATACACACACATATACATACACATATATATATATATAAATCAGCTGGACATGATGGCACGTGCCTGTAGTCCTAGCTAATTAGGAGGCTGAGGTGGGCGGATCACTTGAGCCTGAGAGATTGAGGCTGCAATAAGCCATGATCACTTCACTGTACTCTAGCCTGGGTGACAGAGTGAAAAGGTTTTTATGGTCAAGTAAATTTGGAAAAAGCCTTATATCCACACCAAGCTCTGACAAGTTCACAGTTAAAAAATAAAAAATAAAAAAATAAACAAACAAAAAGTCTAAACAGCCCTCTCTAAGTTTATTTAACCCAGTGGTTCCAAACCTAGTCCATTATGAACCCTCTGAACGCCTCCCAGGACAGTGTGCCATGGGACCTCAGTTTGGGAAGCGCTCTGAGGAAAGGTGGGAAGGGAGTCTCTGAAAGCAGAGAAAGGGGCGACACCACCTGGCAGGGGAAGCCACAGAGAGATCCTAGTGCCCAGGAAGTGGGGAGGGGAGGAGGTTTTGGTGTGCGGCCCACAACAGAAGGGAAGGGGCATGTGAAGGACCCCAGGAGAGGGGGGATAGAGAGGACCAGGGTGATATTTGGATGTGGAGAGGAAATGGGAGGAGGCAGAAGTGACCCTGAGAATTCACACTGGGGGAGGTAGGAAATGGGGGAGCAGAAAGGGGGATGGAGTGGGACATGTCCTTCTTTATGTCCCCACTCACCCTCTGCACATTCACTCTATGACCCCTTCCCAGTTGTGGGATTGAGCTGGGTCTAAGTCCTGTGGCTTCCCTGAAGAGGGCGCTGGGAAAGGGAAGGTGGGGACAGATGCTTCCTGGGGGAGAACAGCCCTCAGAAGCACAGAAGCACAAACATATTCTGTCCTCACTATGCACAGATCGTGTGGTTGTAAAACCGACAGCAGTTGTCCAGGGCCTCTGGGCTGAACTCTGGGTTGATGCTAAAAAGAAAGCAAAGATTGCAGTGTGAGCTCCAGGCCTGGCTCTGCTGGCCACAACCAGGCTGTGCAACACTGGGAACATTGCTTCCAGTCTCCGGTCCACCCTTCCTCCATTGATCCTCGAGCCTTCACTTCCCCATCAGCTGCAGCCATAACATTTCTACCCTCACCCTGGTACCAAAGGCATTCCCCCAAGCACTCAGGCATTCTGTCCATCACTGTGGGTCCCATGCAGGTCCCACAGCCCAGGCCCTCACCTCTGGAAGGCCTCACGACAGCACTGGTATATTTCAAAGCTACTGCTGCTGAGGGTCATGTTCAGGAGGGACATGCAGTCGACTTCAGCCCCCCTGGGCACATAGAGGATCCCTGTGGAGGAAAGTGGTGGGTGGACAGGGCCCCTGGGCTAGCCAGAAAATCAGGGTTCCACCTTCTGAATCTGCTAGGCCTGCACTCACCTGCCATACAGGCATTCACCAGGGACACACAGGCTCCCGTGAAGAGTGCCCGGAGCACTATCTGGGAGAAGTCGCTCTTCCGTTGGGGGACCATGGAGGCTGCAAAGGGGACAGAAGTGCTCAGGGCCAGGGAAGTTATGTCCCTATCTGCCCATGTTCTGTAGCTCTGGCTGCATCGCTGATCTCCCTTCCTCTTCTACTAATAGATGGCCAGAGGGACAGACGTTGTCCTCCTGACCACTTGCTGAGCTCAGGAGTCCTCTTTGGCTTGGACCCCTAGGCAATGCCCCACATCTCCCCACACACCATGAGTGGCAGATGCAGGAAAAGAATGTGAGTTTGGAGTCAGGCAGACCTGGGATTAAATACAGGCTCAGCCACTCACTAGCTGAGTGACTTGGGCTACCTCTTCACTTCTCCAAGACTCTGTTTCCTTCTTTGTAAAACGCTATGATTACACCACCAGGCAGGGGAGCTGCCAGGAGTGGAAATGTTATTTGTAAAGAACTGAGAACTGTGCAGACCCTTTGACCCTATGCCCCACCAGGCCTGCCTGCCTGTCCCCTGTGGGTGTGGGAACAGGCAGGCCAAAGCCTTGGGGACAGGCCAGCACCACACCTCCTGTCCCTGAGCTAGGCTTGGCCTTCAAGGCCCAGGTGCTAACCTCCTGGGCCACCAGCAGCAGCAGAGAATCAGGGAATTCTAGGGCTAGGAGGAAACTCTATGAATTTTTTTTTTTTTTTTTTTGAGACAGAGTCTCACTCTGTAGCCCAGGCTGGAGTGCAGTGGTGCGATCTCAGCTCACTGCAATCTCTGCCTCCTGGGTTCAAGCATTCTCGTGCCTGGGTTCAGCCTCCTGTGTAGCTGGGATCACAGGCACGCACCACCACACCTGGTTAATTTTTGTATTTTTAGTAGAGATGGGTTTTGCCATGTTGGCCAGGCTGGTCTCAGACTCCTGACCTCAAGTGATCCACCTGCCTGGGCCTCCTAAAGTGCTGGGATTACAGGCATGAGCCACCACACGTGGCCTCTATGGCCATCTTGTTTGGGTCCAGCTTTAGACAAATGAGACACCTGAGGCCTACATGTTCCCAGCAAGTTCAAGTCTCTGACTCTCCTAGACACTGGTAAGGCCCCGATTAGACTCACTCAAGCCTCCCAGCATGATCCCAATGGAGCTGAAATTGGCAAATCCGCAGAGGGCAAACGTTGTGAGGACTTCAGCTCTGACCTGAAAATACAGAAGATGCATGAGGAGGGACTCCCTTCAGATGGGCCTGGGGCACCCCTACAACACCCAGGCTCCCTGGCCTTAACTTTATCCACTTCTTACATGTAATTGACCTTCAAGCCCACTGTGCTGCCCCTTCCCCAGCCTTGTGATTCCCACCTCTAAGTTGATTCAAACCGTACCACATCAAAAACGTAGCCCTCCTCTCTTATCTATCCTTCAACCTTTTTTTTTTTGAGACAGTTTTACTCTTGTCACCCAGGCTGGAGTGCAGCGGTGCAATCTCAGCCCACTGCAACCTCTGCTTCCTGGGTTCAAGAAATTCTCCTGCCTCAGCCTCCCATGTAGCTGGGATTATAGGTGCCTGCCACCACGCCTGGCTAATTTTTTGTATTTTTAGTAGAGACAGGGTTTCACCACTTTGGGCAGGCTGGTGTCAAACTCCTGATTTCAGATGATCCGCTCACCTCGGCCTCCCAAAGTGCTGGGATTACAAGTATGAGCTACCACACCCAGCCTGTCCTTCAACTTTTTTTTTTTTTTTGAGACGGAGTCTATCTCTGTCGCCCAGGCTGGAATGCAGTGGCTGGATCTCAGCTCACTGCAAGCTTTGCCTCCCGGGTTTAGGCCATTCTCCTGCCTCAGCCTCCCGAGTAGCTGGGACTACAGGCGCCCGCCACCTCGCCCAGCTAGTTTTTTGTATTTTTTAGTAGAGACGGGGTTTCACCGTGTTAGCCAGGATGGTCTCGATCTCCTGACCTCGTGATCCGCCTGTCTCAGCCTCCCAAAATGCTGGGATTACAGGCTTGAGCCACCGCGCCCGGCCCCTTCAACCTTTTAATCTTCATTACCAGCCTTTCTGGATGGGGTTCAGCCTTTCTTAGTCCTCTTGCTTTGGCCCTACTAAGCTCTGTCCTAGGGCTATTTGGTGCACAGCCCCTTCCCTGACCCTGCAGTCCTGGGCTTCCAGTTCACAGCATTCCTGTGAATGCTCTCAGGCTGAGAGAGGGAGTGTGGTGCACAGGAAAGAGTAAGGGATTTGGACCCCAGCCAGCCTGGTTTCTAGGATTGTCTCACCAACGATCAGCTTGAGCAAGTCAGTTACTTCTTTCAGTGTCAGTTTCCCTGTCTGGAATAGGGGAATAATAGTACTTGCCTGAGAGGGCTGTAAAAAGGATTATATAATGTATGGGAAATACCAGACAGAGAGTAAGTGTTTAAACATGATAGTTATTCCTTTTGTTCTTAACAACTGTCCTATTTCCCAGAAAGAAGTTTTAAGAGCCAAAATGAAATAATTCGAAAACAAAATTAGTTTATGAGTACAAAAAAATAGAATGGAATGAATAAGAGCTAATATTTTATAGCACAACAAGGTGACTATAGTCAATAATGACTTAATTGTACATTTAAAAATAACTAAGAGTATAATTGGATTGTTTGTAACACGAAGTATAAATGCTTGAGGGGATGGATACGCCATTCTCCATGATGTGCTTATTTCACATTGTATGCCGGTATCAAAGCATCTCATGTACCTCATAAATATATACACCTACTATGTACCCACATAAATTAAAAATTATTTTAAAAAATTGGTATAGAGCCTCCCCTCACACTATATAAAAATTAATTCTCGATGAATATTAATATTTTAAGCATAAAATGATAGAAAATATAGGATAATAAATAGAACTACAAGGTAGTATTATTACTCTTATTTTGGAGAGGAGCAAACCGAGGCTCAGAGAAGTTAACTAACTAAGGAAGTTCACACAGCAAGAAAGTAGCTGTATCAGAATTTGAACTCAGTTCTGACTCTAAAGCTCATGGTCTGAATTATCTCATCACATTATTTCAGGAATTTAACACTTTCCAGATAACTTTCTTTTTCTTTCTTTCCTTTTTTTGAAAACTTCTGCCTCCTGGGTTCAAGCGATTGTCATGCTTCAGCCTCCCAAGTAGCTGGGATTACAGGTGTGTGTTACCACACCTGGCTAAGTTTTGTATTTCTTGTTTTGCCAAACATTTCTTGTTTGCCATGTTGGCCAGGCTGGTCTCAAACTCCTGGCATTAAGTGACCCACCCTCCTTGGCCTCCCAAAGTGTTGGAATTATAGGCATGAGCCACCGTGCCCAGTCGCACTTTCCAGATAACTTTCTAAGTTTAGAAATAATGGAAGAAATCACAAAAGAAAAGATTTGGTATAAAATCTGTGTTAAAAAAACAAATCCCAAAAGCTGGGTCAAGTGAGAGCTGACAGGCACTGGGTGACTTTGTGCCTCACTGATGAAAAATAACTAAACATGGGCAGAGGAGACCCTAAGAAGCCAAGAGACAAAATGTCATCATATGTACTCCCTGTCCAAGCTTGTTGGGAGGGGCACAAGAAGAAGCACCCAGATGCTTCAGACAACTCCTCAGAGCTTTCAAAGAAGTGCCATGTCAGCTAAAGAGAAAAGAAAATTTGAAGATGTGGCAAAGGCAGACAAGGCTGGCTAGGAAAGAGAAATGAAAACTTACATCCTTCCTAAAGGGTAAAACAAAAGAAGTTCCAGCATCCCAACACACCCAAGAGGTCTCCTTTGGCCTCTTCTTGTTCTATTCCACGCATCACCAAAAATCAAAGAACATCCCAGCCTATCTGCTAGTGATGTTGCAAAGAAAGTAGGAGAGATGTAGTTATAAAACCACTGTGGAGGATAAGCAGCCTTAGAAAAAGACACCTGTGAAGCTGGAAGAAAAATGCAAAAGGAATATTGCTGCATACCGAGCTAAAGGAAAGCCTGATGCAGCAAAAATAAGGGAGCTGTCAAGGCTGAAAAAGCAAGAAAAAGAAAGGAGAAACATGAGAAAGAGGAAGAAGATGAGGAGGAAGGAAAGATGGGGAAGATGAAGATGATGAATAAGCTAGTTCTAGTAGTTTTTTTCTTGTATATAATGTATTTAAGCTCCCTCATACTAAATTCATTCCTTTTAAAGAAATACATTAAAATGTAAGGCCATGTAAGATTTGTTTTTAAACCATACAGTGTCTTTTTTTTTTGTATAGTCAACATACTACCTAATGTGTCTTTAGGTAACCCTATCCTGGTGGTATTTTCAATAGCCACCAACCTTGCCTGGTGCAGTATGGGGGTTATAAATTGGCATGGAAATTTAAAGCAGGCTCTTGTTGGTGTGCAGCATAAATTAGTTATGTATGTGGATGGTAGTGCCTTCATCTTTAGTCGTCTCTGATGCAGCTTACACAAAATAATTGCTGTTCTGTTAACTAAATACCACTTGGGCTGGGCGTGGTGGCTCATGCCTATAATCCCAGCACTTTGGGAGGCCAAGGCAGAAGGATCGCTTGAGGTCAGGAGTTTGAGACCAACTTGGGCAACATGGTGAGACCCCATCTCTACAAAAAAAGCAAAAGTTAGCCAGGTGTGGTGGCACATGTCTGTAGTCCCAGTTACACAGGGGCTGAGGCAGGAGGATCACTTGAGCCCAGGAGGCAGAGGCTACAGTGAGCCGTAATTGCACCACCGCACTCCAGCCTGGGTAACAGAGTGAAACCGTGTCTCCAAAAATACATACATACATACATACTACTCTGTAATTTTTTAAAAAGTTACAGCTGTTTTGTTGACATTCTGAATGTTTCTAAGTAAATACAATTTTTTTAATTAAAAAAAACAACAAATTCCTGTGCTTGCATCTTGTGCACATATACTAAAACTTCGATGATACAAAGATTAGCATGGCCCCTACCGAGGTTGACACACAAACTCATGAAGTGTTCTACATTTAAAAACCAAAAAATAAATTTCTGTATACAACATAAACGACAAAAAAGGAAAAGGCTAGGAAAAGTATATGTAGAAAATATAACAGAAAAAAGTTAATGTCTTTATAACATAAAGAGTTGATACAAATATTATTGGAAAAAATATGAAGGTACCTGCCTCTCTGCTTGCCCACCTACAATTGCGTTCCACAGAACAGCCCCAGCCTCCCTCCCTCCCTCCCTTCCTTCCCTCTCGCTGTCCTCCTTCCTCCCTCCCTCCCTCCCTTCCTTTCTTCCTTCCTTCCTTCTCTCTGTCGTTTGTTTTGAGACAGGGTCTCACTCTGTCACCTAGGCTAGAGTGCAGTGGCAAAATCATAGCTCACTACAGCCCCAATCTCTTGGGTCCAAGCGAGCCTCCTGCCTCAGTGTCCCAAGTAGCTGAGACCACAGGCGTGCACCACCACACCTAGCTAATTTTTAAATTTTTTGTAGAGACAGGGTCTTGCTTTGTTTCCAGGGCTGGTCTTGAACTCCTGGTCTTAAGTGATCCTTCCGCCTTAGCCTCCCAAAGTGCTGGGATTAAAGGTGTGAGCCACCACACCCAGCCTCCAGTCATCTTCTTAAAATTCAAAATGTCAAATCTTCAGTGATTTCCGACTGCTCCTTGGCCTGCGAATTACCACCTGCTCTAGCTGTACTGATTGCCTCTGCTCTCTGAGCATACTAAGTGCTTTTCAACCTCAGAGCCTTTGCACATGCCTCTTCATTTGGAATGTTTTTCCCAGCTTGTCCTAGCTTATCCGTTCTCCAAGTTGGCTTAAATGCCACACCTCAGGGATATTTTTTCTGACCAGTCCAGCCAAGGAAGACCTGCCCTGTTTTTTTTTTCTTTTCTCTTGTTGTTTTCTTCATAGAACTTACCACAAATTGTGGTTAATTTAATTTTTGTTCCTTTGCTTGCTTGTGTTTTGCCTGTGTCTCTTACTAGATGTCGCTTCCATGAGACCAGAGCCATGTCTGTGTAATTCTCCTTTTTATCCCCAGTGCCTAGCAGAATGCCTGGCACCTAAATGGTCTCAATGAATACTTGCTGAAGGAATGAAGTCCATAAAAAAAGATCATGAAGTGCTTGCTTCGGCAGTACACATACTAAAATCAGAACGATATGGAGAAGATGAGCATGGCCCCTGCGCAAGGACGATGTGCAAATTCATGAAGCATTCCATATTTTTACACTGTGTGCCTGTATCTAAACAGCTCATGTACCCCATAAATATATACACCTACTATGTACTCACAAAAATTAAAAATAAAAATAAATAAGAAAAAACAAGAAAAGGAAAGGGCGTGCTCTCTATTAACCTGTGAGGAGGGGGTGAGACGATACCAGAGGTGAGAGTAAGCAGTGAGGGGAAACTTGTGCTTTTTACTCTATACAAACCTTTTTTTTTTTTTTTTTTTTTTTTGAGACAGAGTTTCACTCTTGTTGCCCAGGCTGGAGTGCGATGGTGCGATCCTAGCTCACTGCAACCTCCCCTTCCTGGGTTCAAGAAATTCTCCTGCCCCAGCCTCCTGAGTAGCTAGGATTACATGCGCTTGCCACCATGCCTAGCTAATTTTTGTACTTTTAGTAGAGATGGGATTTCTCCATGTTGGTAGGCTGGTCTCAAACTCCTGACCTCAGGTGATCCTCCAGCCTCGGCCTCCAAAAGTGCTGTGATTACAGGTGTGAGCCACCATGCCTGGTTTTTTGTTTTGTTTTGTTTTGTTTGAGACAGAGTCTCACTGTGTTGCCCAAGCTGGAATGCAGTGGCACAATCTTGTCTCACTGCAACCTCCTCCTCCCAGGTTCAAGCAATTCTCATGCCTCAGCCTCTGGAGTAGCTGGGACTACAGGCACATTGCACCACAACTGCTAATTTTTGTATTTTTAGTAGAGAAGGGGTTTCTCCATGTTGGTCAGGCTGGTCTCAAACTCCTGACCTCAAGTTATCTGCCCACCTCAGCCTCCCAAAGTGCTGGGATTACAGGTGTGAGCCACCGTGCCTGGCCATGAACTTGCTTTTTTAAAAAACCTAAAGAATCTATTCCTTTACAACTTAAAAAATAATTAAAAAGACAAGAAAAAGGACTTCCCATTGAAAGTTGCCAGTCACCCAAGTAATGCAAATTAAAACAATGAGCTATTGTTTGCTTATTAAAATAGTGAACCTTGTTTTTAAAAAGAAGCTACTCGATGCTGTTTAGTTGTGTGGTAAAATAAAAGCTCGCAGGCACAGCTGGTGCTGCTGATTTCAGCTGCTGCAGCCACATAAAGAATCATGTGGGAGTCAGTCAGCCCACACCTGGGAATGCTACAGAAATGATCTGAGAGGAAGGAAGAGCTATATGCACAAAGATACTCATTTCTTTTTTTTTTTTTTTTTTTTTTTTTTTTTTTTTTGAGACGGAGTCTTGCTCTGTTGCCCAGGCTGGACTGCAGTGGCCGGATCTCAGCTCACTGCAAGCTCCGCCTCCCGGGTTTACGCCATTCTCCTGCCTCAGCCTCCCGAGCAGCTGGGACTACAGGCGCCCACCACCTCGCCCGGCTAGATTTTTGTATTTTTTAGTAGAGACGGGGTTTCACCGTGTTAGCCAGGATGGTCTCGATCTCCTGACCTCGTGATCCGCCCGTCTCGGCCTCCCAAAGTGCTGGGATTACAGGCTTGAGCCACCGCGCCCGGCCAAAGATACTCATTTCAACATGTGGATAAAAACCAAATAATAGAATTGTCCAAATGGCCCAACAGCAGGGGATTGGGTAAATATGTTAGGACACATATATCAAAAATGATGCTTATGTCATAATACTAAGTAAAAAAAAACCAAAAGAACAAAAATGGCTACAGCACAGTTAGGTTGCTACAATAGCAATTATGTAAACTCTCTCTCTTTCCCTCTATTTTTTTTTTTTTTTTTAAAGACAGGGTCTTGCTCTGTTGCCCAGGCTGGAGTGCAGTGATATAATCCTAGCTCACTACAGCCTCAAACTCCTGGGCTCAAGCCATCTTCCTGCCTCAGCCTCCCAAGTAGCTGGGACTACAGGCATGCACCACTGTACTCTGCAATTTTTAAAATTTTTAGTAAAGACAGGGGCTCACTCTGTTGCCCAGGCTAGTCTTGAACTCCTGGCCTCAAGTGATCCTCCCACCTTGACCTCCCAAAGTGCTGGGAATACAGGCAGGAGCCACTGCGCCTGCCCGAACTCTCTCTTAAAAAGAATGGAAGAAAATGTAAGAAACAACAATAACTATTATCTGGAATGGTGAGATTATAGGTAATTTTTTCATTCTCAATAATGTTACTATTCTTTTAGAAAGGTTAATTTTAAAGAGCTTTTATAATTTTTAAAAATAAATTTTAACAGAAAGAGCCAACCCCTGCACTGAATCCATCATATTAACAGTGAAGGTGAGGCCGGGCACGGTGGCGCACACCTGTAATCCCAGCACTTTGGGAGGCCAAGGCAGGTGGATCATTTGAGGTCAGGAGTTCAAGACCAGCCTAGCCAACATGGTGAACCCGTCTCTACTAAAAATACAAAAATTAGTTGGGCGTGGTGGCAGGCATCTGTAGTCTAAGCTACTTGGGAGGCTGAGGCACGAGAATCATTCAAACCTGGGAGGTGGATGTTGCAGTGAGCTGAGAATGTGCCACTGCACTCCAGCCTGGATGACAGAGGGAGACTCCATCTCAAACAAAACAAAACAGTGAAGGTGTTAGTGAAGTCTCTTTATCTCACTCACTCTCCCAGCTCATCGGGTGCACATGTGTATGCCTTTGGAGTAGATATGGCAGGCATCTCACCCCGTTTTCCAACAGAAGAGGAAAGGTGCTGTGGCTGGCCCAAGGCCACAGTGAAAAATGACCCATCTAGAGCTAGGTTTCAGACATCCCAAACAATCCTCTCTCCCCGCACCTCAGCCTCCTAAGAGGCCTTGAGAAAGATGGCAGTGAAGCCCGAAGCTGTCTTGTCTTCCAGGACTATAGGATGTAGGAGGTGAAGCACCACCTCAGTATGTCTCAGCCAGGCCCAGGGAGCAGGAGAGCAGCTGCCAGGGGCCCCCAGGAGTGGCTGTGCTGTGTCATCCCCCTGCCACAGGTAAGGGACTGGGAGTACTAGGACACTCACGGATATCCACTGCTTCCTGTCGCCGACCCACTCCTCGACCCCTGCCAGGCGGCGTTGCTTGTACTTGGAGAGTTCTTGATAGGCCACAAACTCATTCAGAAACAGCTTGATTCCGAGCAGCTCAGCTACCACTGGGCAGTCCTCCCACACCACACCCATCAAGAAGGCTACAGGCCGCAGGATGTAGGAACAGATGACCTGAGGGCACAAGGGTATGACTGGCACTGAGGGCTGGGCCTGGGCTCTGCTGGGCCTCCAGCCACCACTTACTGCCCACCTGGGGCCATCCTCTCTACAGACTGAGTGTAGTGGCCAGAAACGCACCTGGAAGCTGAGCCCTTGGACGTCCACCATGTCTCCCAGCCAGGAGAGGGCAGCATTGATGAAGTCCAGCACAGCCAGGAACGCAATCAGGTTGGCAGCGATGTTGGCGACCACCTTCACGGAGATGGCGGCCCCAGTGCTGGCTGCTTCTATGAGGTTCTGAGCATCTCTGTTATTGTGATCAAGAATGATCATTACTGGCCTGTCTCCACAATCAGCAAGGGTCCCTATCCTATAGGCTCAAATAGGAACCCTGGAAGAGCATTTCAGAGCAGGAAAATCTAATTTTCCCTGAGACCCAGAGAGAAAAAGGGGCTGGTCAAAGCACTAGGATAAGATCCAGGTTTCTAGCGCTGAACTGTCCAAGATGGAAGCCATCAGCCACACGTGACAGGAGGCTGTCTGAATTGAGTTGTGCTGTACAAAATACAGACCAGATTCTGAGGATTTAGTACCAAAAAATGCAAAATATCTCAATAATTCTTATACTGGTTACATGTTGAAATGACAGTACTTTGGGGTATACAGGGTTAAGTAAAATGGGTTATTAAAATCACCCATTTCTTTTCACTTTTTAAAAGACAACTACTAGAAAATAACAGGCGCCTCACATTACATTTCCATGGGACAGTGCTGCTCCAGTGCCTCAGAAGGTTGTGAGGTTGGGGTCGTCCACTGTGCCCAAGCAAATGTGTCCAATGTGGTGCCTTTTCAACATTGTTTAAGGTTTAAAGGTTACCTAACAGTTATTAAGACTATGACAGGATGTTAGGAGGTGAGTGAAATCAAAGATGGCACTCAGAATGTCAATGTGTGGTTGACACCCTGGCGGTCAGAGCTCAGGCACATAGAGATGGGGGCATGGGGCCTTTCTATGACTCTCCTCAACATGTACACACACCAGGCCACAGACCCAAGAACTAGGCCACACCCCCGAGCCTTGCCCAGTCCATTGTTTCCTGATGGCCAGAGACTAGAAATTAAGATATGAGAACTGGAGTGTGCATTTTTGCAAATGCTATGGTCTGAATGCCAGTGTGGCAGTATTATGAGGTGGGACATTTAAGGGGTGATTGGGTCATGAGGGCTCTGCCTTCCTGAATGGATTAATCCATTCATGAATGTTGGATTAATGGATTAATGGGATAATGGGTTATCATGGGAGTAGGACTGGTTGCTTTTTGTTTTTGGGACGGAGTTTCGCTCTATTGCCCAGGCTGTAGTGCAGTGGTGCGATCTAGGCTCGCTGGAACTCCACTTCCCGGATTCAAGCAATTCTCGTGCCTCAGCCCCCCAAGTGGCTGGAATTACAGGTGTGAGCCTCTATGCCTGGCTAACTTTTGTATTTTTAGTAGAGATGAGGTTTTACCATGTTGGCCAGGCTGGTCTCGAACTCCTGACTTTAAGTGATTTGCCTGCCTCAGCCTCTCAAAGTGCTGGGATTACAGGCATGAACCATCACAACTGGCCTTGACTTGTGGCTTCTTAAGAAAAGGAAGAGAGATCTGAGCTAGCATGCTCAGTTCCCTGCCCGGCACCCCTCAACCCCTCGCCATGTGATGCCCTATGCCACCTTGGGACTCTGCAGAATGCCCAGCAGCAAGAAGGCTCTCGCCAGATACGACCCCTCAACCTTGGACTTCTCAGCCTCCATAGCTGTAAGAAATAAATTCTTATTCTTTATAACTTACCTAGTTTCAGGTATTCTGTTATAAGCAACAGAAAATGGACTAAAATAGCAAATGAAGCCAAAACCAGGGCAGGGAAAGTGGAGAGATGGGCCTGGGCTGGTGGAAGACAGTGAAGGACAGAGAGAAGAGTACCCTCTGTTTTGCTCCCCCCACCTTGTACAACTACCCCCTCTGCAGGACCTCCTGCTGTGCTTACCCATAGGTCAGTTTCATTCCTTCCTCCCTCCTAAACTTGGACTCCTCCACCTCCGGGTAGACCAGCTTGGAGAGGGCCAAAGCACAAGGGGCAGCCATCACGGAGGCTGCAATCAACGAGGTGGCATCGATCTGCAAGAGTGAGAGTGCGGGTTCTAGGTGGACAGTCAGAAGAAATGCTGGCGACCAAGGAGTGCGGCCTAGGGCAGCAAGGGCACATGTGTAGTCTGTCCCACTGATATGTCCTCATTGTCATAACTGCTGTCATCACTAATAATAATACCTTTTATGTGTCGAAGGTCACAGGCTATATGTATAGGACCTTCTATTTCTTCCTGGTGCTTCCCTAAGTTAGGAATGACAAATATTATTATCCTCATTTTACAGACAAGAAAACTGAGACTCCAAAGGATGAAATACGGCTTCCCAAAATAAAGGAAGAGAAGGAATTAAAGCCCATCACATCTTTTGGCTCCAAGTTCAAGATTCTTTCTTCCTTTCTAGGCTGTCACTGTTGACCACTAATCCCCGTGAGCTGAGGTTTCCCCCTTAGTGGAGGAATTTGTGATGGTTTCAGACAAAGCTCTAGAACCTGAGAGTTGAAATGAAATGGATTTAAGAGCTAACCCAATTCCACCTTAGTGGAGGTATGTACTAGCATAGGAAGGTACTCCCTCTCTAGGCCCTCTCTTTGAATGCTTACTGTGACAGGGAACTCACCATTACAAGGCAACCCATCACATCCAATCCTGCAGTTTGAGAACTCCTTCCCAGGAAATCTGCCTCCTATGACAGCCACCGTTTGGCCCCGAGTCTCCTTCTGGGAGCCACACTACGAAAACCCTTTCCAGCAAGATGGCAGAGCAGTGTCGGCCCCTGGGATTCTCCCTTCCAGAAATTTTTATCTTCAGTGTGACCCCAAACCCTTCGCTTCTCTGTTCTTTTCCACAGAGAAATATGACATGTTTCCCCCATCACCGTATCATTTACCAAGCAGGGAAACCAGAACCAACTCAGACATCTAACAATGGGAGACTGGCTAAGCATCATCAGGCTGTCATTGAAAACAATGGTCATCAAGGCCTCACAATGACATGGGAAAGGGCCCACAACATTGCAGGTAGAGAATAAACAAAACTGGGGGCAGTAGGGAAACAAACTCCACAACGATGCATGAAAAGATTAGAAAGAAATACACCAAAATGGCAATGAATTGACTGTCCATGGCTAGTGGGGCCAGGGGTGATTTTCTTTATTTTTTCTTCTGAGATGGAGTCTTGCTCTGTCACCCAGGCTGAAGTGTAGTGGTGCAATCTTGGCTCACTGCAACCTCTGCCTCCCAGGTTTAAGCAATTCTCCTCCCTCAGCCTCTGAGTAGCTGGGATTACAGGCATGCACCACTGCACCCAGATAATTTTTGTATTTTTAGTAGAGATGGTGTTTCACCATGTTGGCCAGGCTAGTCTCGAACTCCTGACCTTGTGATCTGCCCACCTGGGCCTCCCAAAGTGCTGGGATTACAGGCATGAGCCACCATCCCTGGCCAATTTTCTTTTCTTTCTGCATTTTGGTATCTTTCTTTTCTTTTTTTCTTTTCTTTCTGCATTTTGGTATCTTTCTTTTCTTTTTTTCTTTTCTTTCTTTTTTTTTGTTTTTGAGACAGAGTCTCGCTCTTTCGCCCAGGCTGGAGTGCAGTGGTGCGCTCTCGGCTCACTGCAAGCTCCGCCTCCTGGGTTCACGCCATTCTCCTGCCTCAGCCTCCTGAGTAGCTGGGACTACAGGCGCCCGCTACCTCGCGCAGCTAATTTTTTTTTTTTGTATTTTTAGTAGAGACGGGGTTTCACCATGTTAGCCAGGACGATCTCAATCTCCCGACCTCGTGATCCACCTGCCTTGGCCTCCCAAAGATTATAGGCATTTTGGTATCTTTCGAAATGTCCACGACAATATTTTTTTTAATAAACAAAAAAGCAAAATAGATGTTTCTTCTTAAAGTTTGTAATAAGCCAACTGCATTCTCAAGTGTTAAATAAAAATAAAAAGGAGGAAGGAGGTAAGTTGAAGACAGACACTCAGGCTGATAAAAGCAGAGGGCAGGCCAGACACAGTGGCTCACGCCTGTAATCCCAGCATTTTGGGAGGCCGAGGCGGGCAGATCACTTGACGTCAGGAGTTCAAGACCAGCCTGGTCAACATGGTGAAACCCCATCTCTACTAAAAACACAAAAATTAGGCCGGGCGCAGCGGCTCACGCCTGTAACCCCAGCACTTCAGGAAGCCAAGGTGGGAGGATCACAAGGTCAGGAGTTCGAGACCAGTCTGGCCAGCATAGTAAAACCCCGTCTCTACTAAAAATAGAGAAAATTATCCAGGTGTGGCGGTGTGTGCCTGTAATCCCAGCTACTTGGGAGGCTGAGGCAGGAGAATCGCATAAACCCAGGAGGCGGAGGTTGCAATGAGCCGAGATCGCACAATTGCACTCCAGCCCAGGCAATAGTGCAAGACTCCATCTCAAAAAAAAAAAAAACCAAAAAACAAAAAAACAAAAATTAGCCTGGTGTGGTGGTGGGTGCCTGTAATCCTAGCTCCTTGGGAGGCTGAGGCACAAGAATGGATTGAACCCGGGAGGCAGAGGTTATAGTGATCTGAGCACTCCAGCCCGGGTGACAGAGTGAGACTCCATCTCAAAATAAATAAATAAATAAATAAATAAAAAAGAAAAGCAGAGGGCAGATCATGGGCACCCCTCATTACCATCTCAGGGAAGTGCCAGGCCTGCTGCTGAGAAGCCAGGCTGGAGACCCTCTCAGACTCTGAATCCAAGGAATTGTGTCTTTCTTCTTTTTCTAAACCCCAGTTGTTTCTTTTTAATGATCGACAAAACTCCTTAAAACGTGAACAAGAATTGGCAGCAGCCTGATACCTCCCCAGGGCCCTGTGTGGGCACTGGGTGTGCAAGCCTGGGCCCCTGCCCCTTGCTGGATGAAGCCCACTCGGGGCAGGTGTCCTCTCTGGACTTTCTGGGCCAGGCTTTGCGACTTCACTTGCTTCCTCCTCAGTTGCCCAGCCCCAGCTGGGATGGTGCCACACCTGGAATCTTGGTATTTTCCTTCCACTAGGCAGGATCCTGCCCCTTCCTCTGACTTGTAGATTACATCTGGTTTGTAAACCTGAGTCACAGCAGGGAACACACCCTGCAGTTGTCACATTCCTGGACACTGTCCCCTGGGTGACCCAGTTGTGGTCACAGCCTCAAATGCTGGGGTTGCTAGTTTCCAGTTCATCATGGAAAGGGCTGAGTCCTGCACAGGCAGGACTCCCTGGGCACCGGGCCAGCCCACACCCACCTCCCCACTGCTAACTACTCTGCAGGGCTGTGACATTCCCCAGCCCTGCCTTCCAGGCACCTGGCCAGGAAAGCCTTCCATCCTAGCATCCCAGGGCCCACACCTGCCCATGGCCCTTCTTTCTCTGACCCAAAGGGTCTCGCTCTGTCACCCAGGCTGGAGTGTAATGGTATGATCATGGCTCACAATAGCCTTGACCTCCTGTGCTCAAGTGATCCTCCCACTTCAGCCTCCCCAGTACCTGGGACTATAGATGTATGCCACCATGCCCAGGTAATTTTTTATTTTTTAAAGTTTTTATAGCGATAGGGGTCTCCCTATGTTGCCCATGCTGGTCTCAAGCTCTTGGTCTCAGTCATCCTCCTGCCTTGGCCTCCCAAAGTAATGGAATTACAGGCATGAGCCACTGCACCCAGCCTAGTAGCTACATTTCTTTGTTTTTTGAAACAGAGTCTTGCTGTGTTGCCCAGGCTGGAGTGCAATGGCATGATCTTGGTTCACTGCAACCTCTGCCTCCTGGGTTCAAGCAATTCTCCCACCTCAGCCTCTTAAGTAGCTGGAATTAAAGGCACCTGACATCATGCCTGGCTAATTTTTGTATTTTTGTAGAGACGGGGTTTCTCCATGTTGCCCAGGCTGGTCTTGAACTCCTGACCTCAGGTGACCCACCCGTCTCGGCCTCCCAAAGTGCTGGGATTACAGGTGTGAGCCAACACACCCGGCCATAGCCACATTTTAAAAAGGAAAAAGAAATAGGTTAAATTAATTTTAATAATTTCATTTTTAATTTAATATTTAACTCAATATATCCAAAATATTTTCTTTCCACCCATGTAATCAATATAAAACTATCAATATGGATGACAAAATAAAAATTAAAAATTAATAAAACATCTTAAAATTTTTTCAATACGACTAGCCACATTTCAGGTGTTCAATAGCCATGTGTTTGGGGGCTACCGTATTGGCCAGTGGAGGTCTAGATATATCCAGATATCAGCAATAGGAGGGATGTGCGGAGAAGAGAGCCAGAGTGAGCAACAAAGTGGTCTTAAGAATGTGGGAGCTGGCCGGGCGCGGTGGCTCACGCCAGTAATCCCAGCACTTTGGAAGGCCGAGTGGGCGGATCACAAGGTCAGGAGATCGAGATCATTCCGCCTAACACGGTGAAATCCCGTCTCTATTAAAAATACAAAAAATTAGCCGGGCGTGGTGGCGGGCGCCTGTAGTCCCAGCTACTCAGGAGGCTGAGGCAGGAGAATGGCAGGAACCCAGGAGGCGGAGCTTGCAGTGAGCCGAGAGCGCGCCGCTGCACTCCAGCCTGGGCGACAGAGCCAGACTCTGTCTCAAACAAAAAAATAAAACTAAAAAAAATAAAAATAAAAAGAATCTGGGAGCTTGGAGGCCGGGCGCAGTGGCTCATGCCTATAATGCCAGCACTTTGGGAGGCCAAGGGGGGCAGATCACCTGAAGTCAGGAGTTCGAGGCCAGCCTGGCCAACATAGTGAAACCCTGTCTCTACTAAAAATACAAAAATTATCTGGGGCGTGGTGGCGCATGCCTGTAATCCCAGCTGCTTGGCAGGCTGAGGCAGGAGAATTGCTTGAACCCATGAGGTGGAGGTTGTAGTGAGCCGAGATCAAGCCACTGCACTCCAGCCTGGGCGACAGAGGGAGACTCTGCCTCAAAAAAAAGAATCTGGGAGCTTGAAGGAAAGAGCAAGAGAGACCCTTCTGGGATTCAGGGGCTGAGGGTAGAGCCAAAGATACCGAGGAACTGACTGGGGAAGGAAGTTAGAGGGAGTGCAGGGCTGGTGCAGTGACTGCCATGAGCCAGGTGGTGGCAGAAGAGAGCTGCTCTGGAGACAAGACTGGGGGCAGATCCAGAGATTGAAGGGAAGGAAGGTTTGTTAGGTGCTTTTCAAACTCTGGGCCAGCTATAGTTGTAGTCTGGGGCTTTCAAATCAGAGACTGTGAATGGAGGCTGAAGGGCACCTAGGGCTGATCCTGGCTGCCTCTGCCCATTCTGTGCAGCTAAAGGGAAGTGGGTACCCAGGCCCTATCAATGGGGAAGCCAGATTGCCCAGTGCTGGGCCTGGACTTTTGCCTGAGAAAGGGAAGGAAAAAGGGCTGAGTTTTAAGCCAGACTGTGGAAATGGGCGAGCATTCTTCCAGTGTTTAAGTTCTAAGTAATGACTAGCAAGAACACCAGGGTTATTCTTTTCGTTGGCTGAGGGAACCAGAACAAGGTTAAGACATTTAAAGCCCTAAATTCTGAAAATATAATGGCATCCCCTCCCCCAATATCCTGCCATGAAGAAAAGTTTCAGGAACAAAGTTTTGGGTTTCCATTTTTGAAATATCAAATTCCTTCTCTTGGGACTCTGAAAACAATACCCAGGATGAAGGGCTCAGAAGCCGCCTCGGAAGAAGCTTTTCTCTCCTGCCCTCCCATCTCTCAGTCCAATTCTCCCTCAAGGCTAGCCATAAAAACTAGAATTCCTCTTCTCCAAGGCAGGGCACAGAGACCAGAAGCCCTTTTCCCAAAACCCAGCCATCAAAGCCTAAACACATCGCTCTAACTTCTCTCTGCCTTTCTGGGTAAAAACTGGCAATAAAGAAATTATCTGACGTACCTTGTCTGACTGCAGGTCATGAGACCCCCCTTCCAGAAGGAAGAAATGCATGCTCAGAGAGGCCAAGAAGAGTCTACGCAGACAGGTTTTGCGGTTTTTCCTCCACTCAGTATTAGATCACACTGCGTTTGTCCAATTCTGTTTCTACGTGGCTGTCCATACTTTGTTGAACCTGAGCACAAAATTTCCCTGTATCTTTGGGTCTTCATTCTGAAGGCTCCCAAGTGTATACATTAAATAAATTTGTGTGCCTTTCTCCTGTTAATCTGCCTTTTGTGAGTTGATTTTTCCGTGAACCTTCAGGGGGTGTAAGGGAAATTTTCCCTTGGCCCCTACACTACCGAAAACAATTGGTGGTGGGGTAGATGGGGAGTGCACCAGCTTTAATGAGCCCTTTCTAGGCCTCAGCAAGACAGGTGCAAACCAGATGATAGTCTCTAGAATTCTAGATGGGAGGGTGCCAGGCCAGAAACCAAAGCTCCTGAGCACAAGGGGACTTCTTGAAAAGTCAAGCAACAGCCGGCCCTTCCCAGACAGCTCTGTGGGATGTAGAGCTGAGCTTCTTGGTGTGGTCCAGGCATCCAGAGTGAAGGAGAGATGGAAGGGCAGGCTGGCTGTTTTTTCACCCATCCCTCATCATCTCCAGGGACAGAGATGAGAGAGATAGGTGGAATTTGGGACTAAAGAAGGGGACAGTATAGCTCATTCTCTGGTGACCGCCCCCGCCCATCCCCCGCTTTCACACACACGCGCGCACGCGCGCGCACACACACACACACACACACACACACACAGCATCCAGAGAGCCTGGGGGTCAGGCGAAGGCATGGCAGGGTCAATCTCCAAATCAGCACACACAGGCCACCTCGCTCTCATGCAGAATGCTACCGCCTTGTGTGGAGGAATGCACCCAGCGCATAACTGTACTGCCGGGCATTTAGGCTGCCCTGTTTTCTTGCTTTTGCAAATAATGCTGAAATTTTGCATTTCTTGAACACTTGTGAGAATATCCCTATATCACAATTTTTCTAGCTGGATCAAAGGGAGAGAATATTTTTAAAGTGATTGAAGCTGGATGCAGTAGCTCATGCCTGTAATCCTACTATTTTGGGAGGCTAAGGCAGGAGGATTGCTTGAGCCCAGGAGTTTAAAACCAGCCTGAGCAACATAGCAAGACCCCATCTCTACCAAAAAAAAAAAAAAAAAAAAGAAAGCCAGGGGTGGTGGTGCACGTATGTAGTCCCAGCGATTCAGGAGGCTGAGGTGAGAGGATTGCTTGAGTCCAGGAGTTTGAGGCTATGGTGAGCTGCGATCGCACCACTGTGCTCCAGCTTGAGTAACAGAGGGAGACTCTGTCTCAAAATACATATAAATACATGTTGGTGTCATGTGGGGAGTTAAAAAAGAAAAAATAAATAATTTTAAGTGATCTATATAATAAAAATATAATATTTTATATAAATAAAATTTTTGAAAGTGATATATGATAAAATAATAAAATATTATATATATATAATAAAATAAATATATAATAAATAGACTGATAGTCATTCACCAAAAAGGTTACACTAAATTAAACTCTTACCATGAGTGGGTGAGTACCACATACTCTTGCCATTTGGAGGCATGTAATGGGTTGCATATCACTTAGAAGAAATTAAGTTATTATTATTTTAATTCTTTTGAACATCAGTGAGCTTGAATATCTTTTTATAATTTATGAACTATTTTCTTCTTATCAATGATTCTCATCTTTTATTTTTTAAAAAAAGAGAAAGTATGTGAGTACTCAGGTGTATATACCTAAAAGACTGCTTACACAGAAAGATTTGGAATGACATTTTAGGTCAGTGGGTCTCAAACTGGGCGAGCATCAGAATCACCTGTGAGGCCTGTTGCAACGCAGTATGTTGGTCCCACCCCCATCATTTCTTTTCTTTTTTTTTTTTTTTTTGAGATGGAGTCTCACTCTGTTGCCCAGGCTGCTGTGCAGTGGTGCTATCTCAGCTCACTGGAACCTCCGCCTCCCAGTTTCAAGTGATTCTCCTGCCTCAGCCTCCCAAGTAGCTGGGGTTACAAGCACCCATCACCATGGCCAGCTATTTTTTTGTATTTTTAGTAGAGATAAGATTCCGCCATGTTGGCCGGGCTGCTCTTGAACTCCTGACCTCAGGCAATCCGCCTGCCTTGGCCTCCCCCATCGTCTCTGATTCAGCAGGTCTAGGATGGGCCCAATAATTTGCATTTCTAACAAGTTCTCAGGTGATGCTGACAATGCTGGTCCATGAACCCCACTTTGAGAATAGCTGTTCTAAGCTATTAAAAGCAGTTACCGGGCCAGGCGAGGTGGCTCATGCCTATAATCCCAGCACTTTGGGAGGCTGAGGCAGACATATCACAAGGTCAGGAGTTTGAGACCATCCTGGCCAACATGGTGAAACCCCGTCTCTACTTAAAAAAAATTAGCTGGGCATGGTGGGGTGTGCCTGTAATCCTAGCTACTCAGGAGGCTGAGGCAGGAGAAATGCTTGAACCAGGGAGCTGGAGGTTGCAGTGAGCCGAGATTGTGCCACTGCGCTCCAACCTGGCAACAGAGCAAGACTCCATCTCAAAAAAAAAAAAAAAAAAAATCAAATAGAAAATTAAAAAATAGAAGCAGTTACCCACGGGAAGTGGGGTTAAGAAAGAGATTTTAAAACTTTTTCCTTTCTGCAATAAGCAAGAATTTCTTTGATCATTAAGGAAATAAAATTGAGACCTTTGAAGATTTGCCTGTGAAAGCACAAGTGTGAAAGCACAAGGTGTTTTACGAAAGTAAAGCATTATTACCGGGCATTATGTGAGGGATGCATTTGAAAATTCCCCTCTACCCGCCATGCAGTAGCACTGTGATTGCTTTAAGGGCCTAATTCACACCACTGGATTTTGACTTACAAATGCTTTATGCTGTGTAAACCGCACAGGAAATAATTTAGGAGCAGAGGCAGGACTTGGGCCCAGAGAGAGTATGGGGAAGGGGAGGAGGGAAGGAGTAGGACGGATCTCTAGGGACAGCCCAGGTGTGAGACTGGAGAAACGAGCATGAATTTTGGAGTCAGACAGATCTGGGTTTGGGCATCTCACTTACTCTGGAGCCTCAATTTTCTCATCTGGAAAATGGGGCTATTAAAACACCTAGCATACTGCTTGGCACCTAGTATGCACTCAGTAAATGGAACACAGGGCAGCTTTGCCCCAGGCGGCCATGCACAAAGCCCGAGCAAATGGTCCAGCCTGGTTCAGGGGAAGCCACTCCTCTTGCCAGCACAGCAGGCCCAAGAGAGAAGATCCCAGGGCTGCTCTGGCCAGGAGCTGTGTGGGGCTCCCACAAAGATGGGTTTCAGGTCCTCAACATAGCCGAGCAGAAGGAGGGCTCTGCCTACCCCAAAGGAGATGTAGGCGCCCAGCAGGCTGCCAGCAATGGTGGCGTAACCTCCGGTCATGACAACATGGACTTCAGAGAGTGTCATGTCTGCCAAGTAGGGCCGGATCAGTAATGGAGCCTCGGTCTGCAAAGAGGAAAGATGTCAGACAAGCAGGGTGGGGGTGGTTGGGCACACCCTCCCCCTCCATAGGTCACAGTCAGTGCCTGGGAGTCCCACGGTAAGAGGCAGCAGGGTGGGGTAAAGACCAGTGTCCGTACTTGGCTGAGCCTCTCTGAACCTCAGCATTGCCCATCTCTGCAGAAAGACCCGCATCCCTCCCTCCCGGCCTGACAATGCTCCCCTGTGTCGACAGCCTGCCACGTGCCAGGTACCCTGCTAGGCACGTCACCTTTGTTACTCACAACCTTCTAAGATAGAAGTGGGCATCTCCGTTTTCCAGGAGAGCAAAAGAGGTTCAGAGGGGTTCCAGGAATGACCCCTGCTCACGTAAATGGATGGGAAGCAGATCCTGCTGCAGGCCCAAGCTCTCCTGCTGCCACAGTGGTGACTGAAAGAAAGAAGCTGCGGCATTGGATGAGGGGTGCATTTCTGGGCATCTGGGCAGCCCGAAGCCCTTTGTTATTCACTCAGTAACTAGTTACTGAATGCCTACTGTGTTCCAGGCACTGTTCTATAGAATAGGAACATGGGGTCAACAGGATAAAGTCCCTGCCTTCACGGGGCTTCTATCCTGGGAGCAGTGGAGGGCGGGAGGGGAGCTTTAGCAGGTGGTGGGAGGATATAGATAATCAACAAGGAACCAAGCAGGTAAGCAATGTCATTTTAGACGGTGATGAAAGCTATGAAGATATGTGTGAGAATGCCTACTGGTTAGGGGTGTTTAAAACTGAGTAGGCCAGGCATGGTGTCTCATGCCTGTAATCCCAGCACTTTGGGAGGCCGAAGTGGTAGAATCACCTGAGGTCAGGAGTTCCAGACCAGCCTGGCCAGCATGGTGAAACTCCATCTCAACTAAAAATACTGAAATTAGCCGGGCATGGTGACACATGTCAGTAATCCCAGCTATTAGGGAGGCTTAGGCACGAAAATCACTTGAACCTGGGGGGTGGAGGTTGCAGTGAGCCAAAGATTGTGCCACTGCACTCCAGCCTGGGTGACAGAGTGAGACTCCATCTCAGAAAACAAAAACAAAAAAACTGAGAAATCGGCAAAGGCCTCTCTGAGGAGGTGACATTAGGTTAGGGTTGGCTGAGACCTGAAGGAGCCAGTGACATGGTTTGATAGCACAGCATTCCAGGCAAGCGAACAGCAGAGGCCCTAAAGCAGCAAGAAGCTCTGCAAAGTCCAGAAGCCATAGCAGTCAGCATGTCTGCTGCAGATGGGCGTGGGGGAGCTGCCTGAGATGGAGGCAGAGGGGGCAGGTGTGCCACAGAGGGGCTGGGAAGCCGGGGTGAGGGGTTAGCTTGCTTAGGCGGGAGTGGAATCATCTGCTTTGTGTGTATGAAGGGTCACTCGGGTGTATGAGTGAAGGACAGATAGTAGGGGCAGGGAGAAGAGGTAGGAGGAGACAGCAGTGTTCAGGTGAGAGGCAGGTGGCCCGGGCAGCGGGGGATTGTAGATGGGCCACAGAGGCAGCGCTGTGGGAATGCTGATAGACTGGATGCCACGGTGGGGGAAGTGGAGGAAGGCAGGGCAGCTCCTCCAGCTCCAACTGAACGATCCTGTGGAAGATGTTCCCACCTGCTAAGAGGGGAAGGGCTTCAGAGGGGCAGAGGTGATGAGGGAGGGGAGCAACAGTTCTGGTTGTTTGGACTTAGCGTCTTAATGTGAGACACCCCTTAAATCTCCAAGTGGACGGTCAAGGGGCCAGTTGACCTGTCACTCCTGAGTTCATGGGAGGTCAGGACTGCAGAGCAGGACCTGGGAGGCATTTAGAGCATTTAAAGCCATGGTGCTAATGTGATCCTGCAGGGAGGCAGTGGGGATGGACAAGAGGAGAGGGCCCAGGCCTGCCACATGTAGAGAGGTTGAAATGATATCACTGACCCCTGAAGGCTCCCATTCCCCCTTCTTGGGGGAAATGAGGCACAGACCCTGGCACCTAGGTCAGTTTGACCAACAACTTGTCCGAAATGAATTCACCTTGGCAGCGCTTCACGTCGCCCAATGTCACCCCGCCTATATATTTTCCCAGCAAAACACATGGAACACATTTGCAGCCTTTCATATAAAATAACTGCTTTGCATTTTAATAGTGTTTTCCTCTTTTGCCTCATTTTGAACACCTTAAGGGACTTTTTTGACAATTTATCTGAGAGTATGTCTATCTTCATTGGCTAAAAACAAGACAAAACTAAACAAAAAACAACCAGAAAAAAAACTTTCAAATCAACACACTTGCACCACAGAAAAAAAGATAAAAATATTCCCCAAAGTTTCCTAAACTGTACAGTGAAATATGGCATCTTTTGACAAGAGTGTCTCTTGGTGACTCAAACATTAAGCAGATGGGCCAGGACAGGCCTTGGCAGAGTCTCCAGAGGGCCATCCTCAGGGGATCAGGCTTTCTGAAAGGGACTCAGCACCGAGGGTGCTTTCAGAGTCACATTTACTTTGGAAAATACATTTTAAGAAAGAGGGAGAAAAGAAAAGACAAAATAATGCAGTGGAAAAAACTCTGACCAGAAAGAAGAAAACCTGGATTCGAAGCCATGGCTTATACGTGTGGGATCTTGGTCAAGCGGTTCCCATCCCCTGAGCCTGTTTCCTCACGTATAAGATGAGAAACTGGACTCCATCTGTAGGAGCTGTGAGTCTTCAGGCTGATGAAGACCGCCTAGGGCTAGAGTGGTAAGAGAAGCCAGACAGATGACATCCTCCCTGGCACGACCCAGTCATCCCCCAAACAGCGTAGCCCTGGGGCAGCAGAATTTGAGGACCCTGGGAGAAGGTTCAAACGGCTCTTCCTTGGACTAAATCAGAGCTCTGGGGATCCAGGGAAGCTGCCCTCTTTGGGGAAGCTGCTGATGAGCATGAGGGTAGGAGGCTGCCATACCCACCTGGCTCACAAAGATGTTTCCAGCCACGCTCAGGGTCTCAGTGGCTGTGGTATCCATGGTGACTTGCATCAGCCAGGCAATCTAGAAGGAAGCAGAGTGTTCTTTGTTGGCGGACATCAGCAAATCCCAGAGTCAAAGGGGGCTGGAGTGAAAGACCTGACACACCTTCCTCCCAACTCCCAGCCCAGTGAAGGACCCCCTCATCTACATTTTCCCAAAAGGTCAATTCATAATCTTCTTCCACACCTTCATCGATAGGGGCTTACCCCTTCCCAAGGCCACCCATTTCGCCATAGGAATGCAGAAAGGATTTCCTGGCCAAATATATTTGAGAATTGCGAATTGCGCGCACACACACACACACACCCCTTAGAGATTACCAATATACATTAGCTTAGTAAAGCCTCTGAGAAGTCTTGCATTAAGCTTGTTTAAATTTATGTAGCATAATGTCTAGCCTAGTTTCCCTAAATTATTTGACCATGGGATCAGGCTACCTTTACCTAGTAACATTTACTAACATGCTGTGGAACTAGAGTTTTGTGGAAAAGATTTTGGGAAACACTGTGTTAGAAAGCGTTTTTCTTTTCTTTTCTTTTTCTTTTTTTTTTTTTTTGAGACAGAGCCTCGTTCTGTTGCACAATCTCAGCTCACTGCAACCTCTGCCTCCCAGGTTCAAGCAACTCTCCTGCCTCGGCCTCCTGAGTAGTTGGGACTACAGGCACCCACCAGCACACCCGGCTAATTTTTGTATTTTTAGTAGAGACGAAGTTTCACCATGTTGGCCAGACTGGTCTCGAACTCCTGACCTCAGGTGATCCGTCTGCCTTGGCCTCCCAAAGTGCTGGGATTAGAGGTGTGAGCCACCACGCCCAGTTAGAAAGTTCTTCTTTTTAATCAAGATGAAATCTGCTTCCCTGGAATTCTATCCACTGCTGGTGCCTCTCAGGCTGCCCTTTCCCTAATCTCTCTTCTGTAAGTATTCAGAGACAGCTATCCTCCCCTAACTTCCTCTTCTCCAGGCTCCTCGTTCCTTATTTCTTCAACCATTTTGTAGAGGGTATGGTTTCAAGCCCTTTCACTCTCCTGCTTATAGTTCAGTTTGTCATAGCCTCTTGGTTGAACACAGTCTCCAGGTCTGGGGAGAATCACCTCCTTTATGCTATGCTGTGTGGGCTCTTAACACAACTGCTATGGTTTAAATAACCCCACCTAAACTCATGTTGAAATTTGATTGCCAGAGAAAAATATATATATATTTGATTCCCATCATAACAATGTTGAGAGGCATGACCTTGAGGAGGTGATTAGGTCATGAAGGCTCTGCCCTCATGAATGGATTAATGCTGTTACTGCAGGAGTAGTTTGGTTATCATGGGAGTGAACTCGATAAAGAGGATAAGTTTGGCCCTGCTCTCTCTGTGTCTCGTGTGCTCAATTCTGCCTTCTGCCCTTCTACCATGTTATGACACAGCAAGAAGGCCCTTACCAGATGTCAGTGCCATGCTCTTGGCCTTCCCAGCTTCCAGAACCATGAGCCAAATAAATATCTTTTCTTTATAAATTACCCAGTCTGTGATATTCTGTTATAGCAACAGAAAATGAACAAAGACAATAACCACAGGTTGTTTTTGCCTTTCTGGCAGCCATCTGATGTTGCTGATTTATTCTGAGCTCAATCAACTAAAACCTTGGAATCTTTTGCCAGGTCCAATGCTATCTGTTGCTGTCCAATGCTATCTCCTACATCCTGGTTTTGTGCAGCAGATTTTATGAACATAAGCACAGGATCTAACATTTATACCAGCTGAGTCTGGCCAATATGGCCCACTGCTACAGTCTCTCAATATCTTTTCAGTATAAATTATTTTTCTTCTTCTATACCTTTTCAATTCAGCCTCAAAACTGCAACATTTCCTCCAGGAAAGACCACTTTAGACTTTGGTGCTATTTCTCCTTGGTATCATGACAGGAGACCTTGGGAAAGGATATTTGGTCAGTGCTAGATTCTGTGAGGCTGAAGATCCTGGAAGCAGGGGATTCAGGGAAGGTATGGACCTCAGGAGCAAAGGATTCTAGGAAGGTGTGAACTGTGAACTCTAAGAGTAGGGGATTCTGGGAAGGTATGGGCCTCAGAAGCAAGGGATTCCAGAAAGGTGTGGAACTTGGGAGCTGGGGATTTTGGGAAGGTGGAGGTGCTGGGAGCAGGGAATTCTGGAAGGGTATGGGCTTGGGGAGCAGTGTATTTGGGGAGGTTTGCGCTCTGGGAGCAAGGCATTCTGGGAGAGTGTGAACCCTGTGAGCTGGTGACTCTGGGAGAGCCCAGGTCATGGGCACTGGGAACTTACCTTCAGGATCACCCACTGCATGAGGCCCACGTGGTAGAGAACCGATATGACACAGCTGAAGAAGACAATGATGGGCAGAACCTGCCGGGAAGGAGAGCATAGGACCACAGGTTAGAGGCAGGCAGGCTGCAGGGTGCCAGGCAGGGTCCAGGAGACCCCAGACAGCCCACTCCATCCCAGGCCTTGCCACTCAGATGCCTGACAGGATCTGGGAAGATGCTCTGAAATCAGTGCATGAAGTCCCAGGTGTTCCACATGCAGGGCCTCTTTGGAGGCAGTCTTGTCCTCTCGGCTCCCCTCTAAATAGTGACCAGCCACCAGACCATCCCTCTCTCCTCAGCACAGGTAGGCCTGTGCTGTGGTAGGGTGGGGCCTGAGTGAACCACTTTTATCTCCTGCTTCTTGGTCTCTAAAATGGGAGTAAAATGCCCACATCTGAGGGTCATTGTGAGGGTGGCATTGTGCACCCTTCTCCATGAGCTCAATCCTTGGCCTCAGACTCTGGCCTTAACCTCCCTCTCGTGCTTTGGGCCTGAATGAGGGGACCCTCACCATTTTGGTACTCCACTTCCGCTCAGCACCAACAAGCTCAGAATTAGGCTTACCCCGGACCTGAGCCAGCATCTCCTCCCATCACCCCATCTCCTATTATGAGTATCAGGCTGAACACTCCTCTTCCTTCACTCCAAGCTCACCCATTCTCCCTTCAGAATTTCTCACGCCCATTCCCTCCTTTCCAGGCCCATGGAAAAGGAGGTTGCTTTTCTGCACCCTGGTCTTTCTTTACTGTAGTCTGATGTTTAATAACAAACTGGCAAAAAACGGAGAGGTCTTTTAGTGGAAGACTAGTTGCATCACCTAGGATACAGACATACACCAGTGCACTAAAGGTCAGGAAACAAGAATGCAGAAACTCTCTATGGGCAGCTGTGGACTGATTTCCAAGATATGTTGTTAAATGAAAAAAAGAGAAGGTGTACCACAAGAGTGTATGCTATGCTGTTATGTGGGTTTAAAAACGGGGTCGGGGGTAGCCATGCATGGTGGCATGTGTCTATAGTCCCATCTACTCAGGAGGCTGAGGCAAGAGGATTGCTTGAGCCCGGGAGTTCAAGGCCAGGCTGGGCAACATAGTAAGGTCCCCTTCCTCTCCAAAAACATGTGTGTGAGGGGCATTGTGTGTGATCTTGTATGGGTGCAGGAATCATTAGAAGGATGTGCAAGAGGCCAGCAACAGCAGGTGCCCTGGGGAGGGAACTGGGTGCCTTGGGGGCCAGGGATGAGAGGAAGGTTTCTTTTTACCTTATACCATTTTGTGTTGGAATGTTTGCTCTATTCTGTGTCCTGTGTTCCCAACAGTTTAAAATAGTCGTGTAGAACTGGTAATAGCATGGGAGCATTCTTACGCTACAATGTTAAGTGGGAAAATTGGATTATTAAAATTATAGAAAGAAGCACTCCCAAATAGTCAAAGAACTTGCCCTATGTGCTGGGGCTATGTAAATGTTGTTTTCTTTTTTCTTTATTTCTGAATTTCTCATCTGTTTCTACAATTTTTTTTTTTTTTTTTTTTAGACAGAGTCTCACTCTGTTGCCCAGGCTGGAGTATAGTGGCACGATCTCGGCTCATTGCAGCCTCCGCCTCCTGGGTTCAAGTGATTCTCCTGCCTCAGCCTCCCAAGTAGCTGGGATTACAGGTGCTTGCTGTCATACCCAGCTAATTTTTGTATTTTTAGTAGAGACAAGGTTTCATCATGTTGGCCAGGCTGGTCTCGAACTCCTGACCTCAAGAGATCTGCCCGCCTCATTCTCCCAAAGTGCTGAGATTACAGGTGTCAGCCACCGCATTCAGCTATTCCTATAATTTTCAATAATAGGTGGACATTTCTCAAGGGAGGGAGCATAGGCAGGAGAGGTTTGTGGGAAGATCAGTTTGGTTTTGAACTTTGAATCTGAGATGCCTGTGGAATATCAAGTGGGCGGCTGGATAAAGGATTGGGAGCTGAGAGGGGAGATCTGGGCCAGGCCTTGGGGCTCTTTCATAAGAAATACAGGTTGGCCCAGCATAGTGGTTCATGCCTTTAATTCCAGCATTTTGGGAGGCCAAGGCAGGAGGATTGCTTGAGCTCAGGAGTTTGAGGCCAGACTAGGAAACAAAGCAAGGCCCCCATCTCTATACATAAAAAATTTTTTTAAATAACTGGGCATGGTGGTACACACATGTGGTTCCAACTGCTCTGGAGGCTGAAGTGGGAGGATCACTGGATTCCAGGAGTTCGAGGCTGCAGTGAGTCATGATCATGGCACTGCACTACAGCCCAGTCAACAGAGTGAGACCCTATCTCTTAAAACAAAATTTTAAAAAAATTTAAAAAAGAAGGCCAGGCACGGTGGCTCACACCTGTAATCCCAGCACTTTGGGAGGCTGAGGTGGGTGGATCATTTGAGGTCAAGCGTTCGAGACCAGCTTGGCCAACACAGTGAAACCCCGTCTCTACTAAAAATACAAAAAAATAAACCAGGCATAGTGGCGGGCACCTATAATCCCAGCTACTAGGGAGGCCGAGGCACAAAAATTGCTTGAACCCAGGAGGCAGAGGTTGCAGTGAGCCGAGATCATCCCACTGCACCCCAGTCTGGGGTGACAGAGTGAGACCCTGTCTAAAAAAACAAAACAAAACAAACAAACAAGAAAAAAAAATTAGAAGAGGAACAACAACGACACGTAGAGATGGCTGGTGGATACAATTCACTGTGGAAATCACCCTGAGTGAGAAGCGCAGGGGCTAAGGACAGGGCCCTGTGGTCAGTGTGTCACTGAAGGGTGACAGGGGAAGGAGAAGCCTGTGAAGGAGACAAAGAAATAGCCAAGGGCTGGAGGATGGCCAGGAGAGAGGCGGGATGGAAACCGAGGGGCAATTTTTCCAGAAGGAATAGTCACTAGCAGTTGTGTCAGGGGCATCAGAGAACTCTGGAAAGGTAAGGACTGAGCTAGACCCCTGGGACTTAGCAACTTGGAGGTGCCCATGATCTAGGTGACAGCAGTGTCAGAGGAGGGGTGGGGACTGAGGCTGATGTCAGTGAGCCAAGGTGGAAGTGGGACATGAAGAAGGAGAGACCACAAGAACAGACAGCCCTCGCAAGAAGCAGCACTGTGCTCACTGCTGGAGACTATTGAGGGGCCCAGAAAGGGCTGCTTTTATTGTTTAAGGAGCGAGAGTCTTGAGCAACCAAATTTAGGCTCTAGTTCAAAGTGAACTGGGATTACAGAATGGACCCTGAAGAGAACGGAGACTCTGCCCCGGGCAGCTGGGAAGCAAGCCCTGCTGAGGCCTTTTCTTTCTCCTGTCCCTTCCCAGACCAATGCTGCAGGTGGTATCTGGATTTGCTCTGCTGTCATCTGTCACCAACTTCACTGTGGTGGGGAAGTCATCTGACAGAGAACACCAGAACTGGCTCAAGAAACCCTTTTCCTGCCCCATGACTCCTCCCCACCCCGGGTCTAGAAACACCTCCAGCACGGGTATGATGACATCATTCCGCCACTCCTGGGACTGAGATGCAGAGAGGGTCACGTACTGTCTAGACTGCTTGTCCAGTGGATCCTGAGAGAGACTGCCAGGCAGCTGGCAGGCCTGCAGGGATGGGCCCACGCCAGGAAGGAGAGTGCCTGGGGCATCAGGACCCCACTGCAGCATTGGGACTTTCTCCTGCCAGGAATCAAAAGATTTTCTATCTGTGAGATGGAGATTTATGGTGGAAGAGAAGCTATGTTTTGGATTAAGTGGAGACTGTCTAGGGAGGGGAGGGGAATAAAAGAGAAAAGAGGCGGCCCCAATTTTCTAAGGTAGGATAGAAAACTAAATAAGGTCCCTGTGGCCAATATCATCTTACAGCCAGGAAACACCTCTGGGGCCTGCAGGATGTGACATGGCAGAAGAACAGGGCAGCAGCTCAAGGCAGTGCTGCTGTGGAAAGGGGAGGCACGAGGGCCTGCCCTGGGTCAGGTCCCTACTATGTGGAGACTCATCAATCCTCATGGCATCTGTGGTGGATGTAACTGTCCCCATTTCACAAATGGGCACACGGAGGCTGTGAGATCTTGGCTACCCACCCAAGGTCACATACCTGCAAAGAGGCAGATGTACCTCCCAGGCACCATGCAGATTGCCAAGGTCCTGCCATGCCCCTTGGGAGCATGCCCCTTGGGAACAGTCCTGGAGGCTTGTTTCTCTGCCTTCAGGGGCAGCATGCACCCCTGCTGGAAACTGAATGTCTGTGTCCCCCTAAATTCATATATTGAAACCTAATTCCCTAGGTGATGGTATTAGCAGGTGGAGCCTTTGGGGGGTGATTAGGTTATGAGGGTGGAGCCCTCATGAATGGGATTAGTGCCCTTATAAAAGAGGCCACATGCCAGGCACAGTGGCTCACACCTGTAATCCCAGCATTTTGGGAGGCTGAGGCCAGAGGATTCCTTGAGTTCAGGAGTTCAAGACCAGCCTGGCAACATAGTAAGACCCTGTCTCTACCAAAATTCAAAAAATTAGCTAGGCATGATGGTATGCGCCTGTAGTCCCAGCTATTCTGGAGGCTGAGGCAGGAGGATCACGAGCCCAGGAGATGGAGGCTGCAGCAAGCAGTGATCACACCGCTGCACTCCAGCCTGGGCAACAGAGTGAGATCCTGTCTCAAAAAGATAAAAAGAAAAACCAAAAGAGGCTCCAGAGAGCTCCCTCACCTCTTTTACCATGTGAGGACACAGACGACCAAGTGGGCAGAGAGCAAAGTGGGCCTCAACAGAATTCAACCTTGCAGGGACCCTGATCTCAGACTTCCAGAAGTGTGAGAAATAAATTTCTGTGGCTTGTAACCACCCAGTCTATGGTTTTCATTATGGCCTTCTCGACGGACTAAGGCAGTCCCCTTCAAGGAAGAGCCAAGTAAGTCCTGACCACTGCCTTGTAGAAATGGCTTTGGAGGCTGGTCCTGCTAGTACCATAACTCAAGGAAGAAGGATATTCTAGCTCTTCTAGGCCACTGGTTCTCAGCACGTGGACCAGCAGCACCTCTGAGAATTT